CGTGGTGAGCAAGATCGTGCCTGTAGCTCACTACGTTCAGGAGAGTCAAGCTCATGAAGAACACCACCACAAGCCCGCTGTTTCCACCTTACATATCGAGAGACACGACGTGCCCGCTCACCCTCCCGCTGACTGGCACAAATATAATGATGTATGTACTTATTGAACTTATTCTTATCATTCGTAGAGTACGTTCTAGGATAGTTAAATTAGACAGCTACTTTAATATTTCATATTTAAATTATTGAATAAAGTACCTAAACATAATGTTTACGTTTTATTACGCAGAATAGAAGTTATGTAAAATGCATTTATTTCTTACTTAGAATTTGGAATCTAAGAAAATTGTTTATCCTGTAAGCTATATTATACATATAAGCCTTCCTCTGGATTCAATCTGGATATTGTTGAAAACGGCATTAAAAGCTGTTATGTACGAGTAATATTAAAGATCTCAGCGTACAGATAGCGGGAAGTGAAAAGTCACATAAATATCTATACATATTATAAAACAGAGGATTTACACTATTGATATTGAACAAAGTCATAATTTTGTGTAGGGCCCCGCCAAGTACGAGTTCGAGTACAAGGTGCACGACCCCCACACCGGCGACTACAAGCAGCAGCACGAGGCCCGCGACGGGCACGTGGTGAAGGGAGAGTACAGCCTGCACGAGCACGACGGCTCCGTGCGCACCGTCAAGTATTACGCTGACAAGAAAACTGGGTTAGTATAGAAGTTATTATTTCTTTAGTAATTAAAAAAGTTTCGACTGCGCGATATAGTGTTATAAATATAAAACTTCATCATGAATCTCTCTGTATGTCTATAGAAACCACATACTCTAAGATCTCAGAAGCGACTTCGTTTTAAACTATGTAATGATGAAAAATATTTATCTTACCATCGAAATAAAATATTAACTTTTATGTTGCCGTCAACAAAATGATAGTCAAAGGATTATCTCATAAAATTGTTGAATGATTACATGAAAAACGTTTTTTGTTACCGTTTTTATTCCAACTTTGTACGAAACACCTACACTCCTACATTATAACTTGGGTGAACTAACGAGTTTTTTTTTTATTTATATAGATTATCGATTTTACTTAAACTAAATATATAATAATTCATTATGCTTTTCCCACTTTTTACAGATTCAACGCTGAAGTTAAGCATACCACAAAACATATTGAAGAACAGAAACATTGAAAACGTATTGTTTTTTCTTTAAAGCATTGTTTTTAGTATTATTATTTTTTATGTTTAAATTTATTGTAAAATAAAATATCTCTCATTACCACATTGTTTGTTCTAAACATATAATAAACTACCTTTCCGCCAGCAATTTGACCCGCGTAGTCTATAAAGAAATGGTTATTTGGATATATCGATTCATATGGCTCGTATTTATTATTATTATTATAAATATGTTGCAGACAAGTGGTTAAATCAATCGTCCAATTGGGCGGCTAGCCTTATATTTGAAAGACGCCATTCAATTGCATGGCTAATCTTCGTTTAGGTGAGTAGCTGAACACAACGTTCTTTCGTTCTATACGTCGACAACAAAAGTCAGTCAACTAATTAAAATTATTGGAGTTACCAAATTTATTAGTAGTCAAACTAAACAAATAGTTAATTGGTACTTTTCTATTACATGCACATTTTGTTGTTTTATAATAAATATTTTCATAGTAACATAATGGTAGGATTAGTTTCCAAGATGTACCTTTAGGTAATGTAGGTCACATAACGTCACGTCACGGATGAGAAATGTAAGAAGTCGGGAATTTCGAGGTTTTTTGATTCCTGCAGGTTATGTGATATGTTAAATATTTTGGACAATCACGAAGCGTAGCGTGGAGATTGTCTTAAATTTCACGTTAGATTTCCACGAAAAAGTAACATTAGGCTTTTTGCACAAAAATTAAAAATTATTGAGTGACTTATAACTATTCTGAAAGAGATCATTTGTGGTGTAAGCTTCAAAGTAACATTTTGACTCTCGTTACATAGAGGTAACATGACAGGCTCAAAAGTTACATAATATTTTGCAAAAGCAACATTCTGACAACGCTGTTTGAATAAACGTTTATAAACAAAGCGAAACTAGTGCCACATTGACGATGGAATATACCAAATTAACGTTTTGTCGGATTTTAAACCAGCCGTATTGTTGAACGGTCCAAATGTTATAAAGATTTAACTAAAAAAATAATAATTTTAGAATAAAAGCGCGCGTGCAATTGAATGGCGTAATTTAGCGCTAGATGCCTAAATGGACAGCTGATTTAAACAATCGACAGCGACATGTATATGCGAGGGTTTTTAAAAAAAATATTTTTATAAAAACTGTTTACCCCACACCGTGTCAACCAACGAGTGGAACTAACGGAATTATTGATCCTATACTGCTTGTTTAGCTTTGTCTAAGCTAAACAATGGCATTTAATGAATAATTGAATTTCTAAGGCAAGTGGTAGACGCAAATATTACTTTTAAGTTTTAGTTACTAGATTTTTATAATGTTTTTTGACCATTGTAAATCATCAGTCTTTACTGATGTCAATTTCATATTATACAACTACAACATTGTCAAAGTTTAATTATTATACATTAAGCACTAACTTTGTGTATTGAACTAAAATAATATGAATTAACCAAAGTGATAAACTAGTCAATTGTCTATGTTAATATGTCGGTTAAAACCATAACCATAACGGTTAAAACCTGAAACTAACACCTAGGTCATGTGGGGCAGGAGTGCAAACTTTCTATTTAAATCTCTGGAAAATAGAAACCGATAAAAGAAATAAAGTTAATGTAAGTTGGTAAATTATCTAGGACATTCGAACATCACATTCTGTGTCTATAAACTAACAAAAGAGTAGAGCTGACGCCCTGGTATTTTCAATAATTTAAGAAATTGCTCTATATGTGGATGCTCACAAGCTTTACTTTACCTTTATTTCTGTTAATGCATGAGAAATTCATCTATAGCCTTTAATCATTTACCTTCAACCACATAGAATGTAGATTTTACCTACATCACTTTATGGGAGAAGTGAAGAGTATATTTTGTTAATATTATTAGCATATAGTTATGATTTCTATATTAAATCACTTGTTGCAATAACTTATTTTGATACATTTATTGTGATTGTTATTGAGTAGCTCGGTTGCGTAACGGATTAGCACCGCACCCCGCGATCATTGTGGTTAAGCAACTTTCGCAAGGGCCAGTCAAGGGATAGGTGGCCAAAAAATATTAACTCGAGCTATTACGTGCTTCGAATGGCAAGTTAAGCCGTTGGTCCCCGCTACATTTACAGACGTGAATACCCTCCAATCCGCATTAAGCCAGCGTGGAGGGTCATAGCCAATCCTTAACCATCCATAACAAAGGCCTCTGCAGTGGGGACGTAAAAGAGTTGAAATAAGAGATAGACGTAAAAGGCCGTAAAATTATATTTATTGTATACTAGATAACCGCCAAGGGAAATGCTCAGGCTGGCGACGGACGCCCCTGAAAGCCTACTCTAATAAAAGCCTAATCACTGAAAAACAAAATATCGTTCGAAATTTCGGACGTTTCCTACTACAATTACGTTCGTTCCGAATATTCAACAAACGAAAATAGTTGGACATATTTATTTTCTAAACCTACTCTATTTCACGAAATAACGAAATGAATATTTGAATTTCACATCTATTTGTTCGGAATTCTTACCTCAAATTGACGAAGTAAAAAACTGTTACCTTTTCATTTTCGTTAGCAATTTTTTATTTTCGAAATGGGGTGAATATTAGTATTATTCGAGTCCGCTCTCAGTGAAGAACTATTAGACCGTAGAAGAAATCGGCGGTGGCTTCGAAATAGCCTTAATATAAGAAATATTCCCGACAGTGAGTTTGTAAGTAATTACAGACTCAGTTATGAATTATTTCAAGAACTATGACAGGAGATCATACCATTACTGCGTCCACAGGCAAGATCTCATGCCATCGAGTCCACAATTAAAGTTGGCAGATATTTTATCGTAGTTCTTGATAAAAAATTACATAACTACTATTATGCATTTCTTTTTTTTCAGCCATTATAACTGAAAGATGTCACTGATAAAAAATATATTTATAAGAAGAAACTTTTATGCCGAAAAACTAAATATTAGTTTCATACTTACTTATAAAGTTTTTTACTGACTTGTCAAGATAAAATATCGGAACTCACAATAATTAGTAACTTAAATAAATTTATATTAGTAAACACTGAACAGTTTGGTACAACTTGTAAAACTTTTGGCGGGATGAGAATCGTTTGTATTATACAGATATTTAAGATTGCCGTACGTTGATTCTAGCTATAGTATATATGAAAGGTTGTTTTTAAATATGTTGGTAAGTACTGTCGATAAAAAGAGTTCTTTATAGTGTCTTGATCAGTTGTATCGAAAAATAAAATTCATTAATATACTTAGTTTTTCGTTATATTATTATAATATTTTATATTTAAACAATGTTTAGCCATAAAATTAAATTTAAAAGGAATATATATATATTGTTAAATATTATATTTCAAGTTACGGTAAAAACCGGAAATGACATTATAAGAAATCCAATAACGCCATTCACTTCAATCAATCACGAAAATTGTCTTTTGATTCGAACATTCGTTGGTATATATGAAAATGATAAAGAGTAGCGTTACATGCGAAATTTCGTTTTAATTTCGTTCGTAAACGAAATTTCGTTTTCGAGAAAGCGAGTAGTCCTCCTGATACCTCCCACTTAACGGTTTAAAAATACCTGGACGATGAGTAAATATTTCACAACCAAAAGCAGTTCAGTTGACCCAATCGTGTGAATCCAAGTGAGACTGAATCAAATTACAAACGATGTGTTTATATATATTTTTTTATTTAATATGTAATAAATAATAACATAGAGGCAATGAAGTGATTATCTAATAACAAATATTATTTTATATTCATAATTTTTAATGATGTTTCTGTTCTTCGATATGTTTTGTGGTATGCTTCACTTCAGCGTTGAATCTGTAATAATAAAAAAAAATACAAATTTTATAACAAACGATATTCACTTAATACCTTGTTACCGATTTTAGAAATTATAATTTAAAATTAGAGCAACTTTTGTTTTGTTAACTTTCAATAATAGAATATCATAATTTTTAATATATAAAAGTTTCAGAAACATCAAACCATCGAATCCACCAAAAAGCAAGTCAAAATTCTTTATTTTTATTTTATTTGACAGTAATATAATTATTTCTTATGACACTTGTATACTAACCCAGTTTTCTTGTCAGCGTAATACTTGACGGTGCGCACGGTGCCGTCGTGCTCGTGCAGGCTGTACTCTCCCTTCACCACGTGCCCGTCGCGGGCCTCGTGCTGCTGCTTGTAGTCGCCGGTGTGGGGGTCGTGCACCTTGTACTCGAACTCGTACTTGGCAGGGCCCTACATAAAATAATAATAATCTTACATATCCCTCTCTTACGTGACTCTCTTACATATCGAATAATAGAAAAATCACCGAAATATTCTTGACAAACAAAATATTTAAACATTATGCAAAGTTTCTAATAGTCTGTGTCCTCAAAAAAATATTTTACTAAAGTAATTTGCTGAAAACGATTAACCTTTCTTTTTCATACTAAATAAGGGAGATTATTTCGCTATACTGTGATATACTCGACAATAATTAATAAATATTAATCTGTTTGAGACAAACTTACGTCATTATATTTGTGCCAATCAGCGGGAGGGTGAGCGGGCACATCGTGTCTCTCGATATGTAAGGTGGAGACGGCGGGCTTGTGGGGGTTTTCTTCATGAGCGTGACTCTCCTGAACGTAGTGAGCTACAGGCACGATCTTGCTTACTACAGGAATAATATGTTTCTCCACTTTGGTAGGTTGCTTCTGCTCATGTGTGTCGTGACGTACAATACTCTGTGATGAGTAGGCATGTTCCACAGCAAGACATGAACTAAGGATGGCCAAAGTTGCTACTACCTGAAAACATATACACAAATGAATTTAATATACTTAATTGTGTATTCTCTATAGCCAGTAAACGACTTTTTTTTAATAGACTATTTCCTATAATTACACTTGTATGCTTATTATATTTTAATTAATTATGAAAAATAAATATTTTATTCTCGTGTCACACTGATTGCAAGCAGCGTTTACAATATTTCGCGGGAAATTTTGAAAGTCAAATTTATTTATAGATTTTAATTTATTATATCAATGATACTTTTTAAATTATTCTTTTTAGATTTTTTCATGTATATCTATAAAATAAAATATAAAATAGTTATCTAAACCCCTATTAAAGCATCAGTGCATTCATCGTATAAACTGATCCATAAACATAGCACAAACTGAAATGACGGTTCCAGTAAAATAAAATATTATAAATATTATATCTAGGCTAATCTTTATGTTGTTAATAATGTATGATAAGATGATATTTAAGTTAAAATAAAAAATAAACCGCTTTACCTTCAGATACATTATAATGTTTTTTTTTTAATTCTCAGCACCTTATATGAATGAACTTAAACTGAATACTGATAATTAAAAAAATTTAATCCTTTTTATATTAATACGATTCTTTTCATGTCACGCAATAAACCTTATAAGCACTTGCTTAATTCATTCAACATTTTTTGGAAAAGGTCAGTAACTTTTACCTTACTCTTATTAACAATTTATGCGATTCTCAAAAATAGAAAATGTTCACTCATTTAGGTTTTGTGCTAAACAAAATGTATAACTGTATTGATATATTACGTATTTTCATGAAAAACACATCTAAGTATTGCAGCAATGTGTACTGTCAGTGCTTCCACATACTGAATTTACCATTAGTTGTTTGCAAGAAAATTATATATGAGCTCTCCATCATAATAGATGGAGAGCTTCACATTTAGAAATAGAAATAGAAATAGAAATAGAAAACGTTTATTTGGTATAAAATATAAAGTAACACAATATTACATAGCAAAAATCAAAAAAACTAAATTATACTAAACGGGCCTCTGCTCAGTATGAGCCGAAGCAACGTTTGCTACGGCACTGATTTTCAGCAGATGCCCCGAGACTTTAGGTTAACATTAATAATTAGTAATACCAATATTAGTTACTCCATTACAATTACTATTTAATTAAAACTACAATTAAAATAACATTTCAGTATACAAATTCACACGAATTTATAGCATGGGGTTAGAAATGGCATCAGGCTGCGGCACTTCAGAGAAAGCAATCACTACTGTGTAACATTTGACATACTCTTTTGTGTAACCAATAAATGACTCTTGTATTTTAACTTAAAATTGTAACCGGACACGGAGTTCCTTATTGGTGGAGGGATATTGTTCCAGCACTTCGTAGCTGAATACCTAAAGCTACCCCGAAATGCACTGGTCCTATATGCATTGTATTTCATGCGTGAAGCAATTCGTGTTTGACGTTCCGAGAACCTTAATTTTTCATACAAATAAGTGGGACACTTGTCTTTAATCACACCGAATAATAAACAAGCAAAGTGCAGTTTCCTACGGTTCTCCATGTTCAACATATCACTTCTGTTTAGATACGGAGTCACATGAGCGTAACGAGGAATGGGAAAACAGTATCTTGCACAAGCATTCTGTACTCTCTGTATGAGCTTTTTTGATCTAGCTAGAAGACATCCCCCAATGACTGTGTCTGCGTAATTTAATTTCGACAATATAAGCGTCTCACAGAGACGTATTCGTAGTTCTACGCTTAAATACTTCTGTATTTGGTAGAGGATCTTTAGCCTGTAGAAACACTGCCTGACCGTATCCGCAACGTGTTTCTCAAATCTCATATCACAATCAAACAGTACTCCCAAATTTCTAGCCTCAGTCACTTGATCAATTACATTGCCTCTAACTGTTAACACAGGTTTATAGGTATTAATGCAATTCGTTTGCGTCCGAGTGCCAGAAACAAGCAATTTTGTTTTCGCTGGGTTTAGCAACAGACCGTTCATTTCCGACCACTCAGCTATACGAGCCAGATCCTCATTAAATTCATTGGCCGCTAGAACCGTGTCAGCGGGTCGAAATGATTTGTAAACCTGTAGGTCATCAGCGTACAGGTGATGCTCACAATTAGCAATACACCTTGGTAAGTCAGCGGAGTATAAAATAAAAAGAATAGGCCCAAGAATAGATCCCTGAGGCACACCACAATATATAGGAGAAGTAGTAGAGTATCTTTTAGTGCCATTGGGAGATGTAACCTCAACCTTTTGACAACGGCCTGTGAGATAACTTTTAAACCACTTAACAGTGTTATCATTAAACCCATAATAAGCAAGCTTCGCCAGAAGTAAAGCAATATTAACAGTATCGAATGCACGAGAGAAATCAAGCAAAACCAAAATTGATCCCTTACCCATATCTCTACCCGCCAATATGTCATCAATGACATCCAAAAGTGCAGTCGCTGTACTCATACCCGCTCTAAAGCCTGACTGCTTTTTTGGTAAGATACCATTTGCTCGTAAGTATTCGGTCAATTGTACGCATACTACCTTTTCCAAAATTTTTGACATGAATGGTAAGATGCTGATTGGCCGAAGGTCCTTGAGTGCAGTTGGGTGTTTGACTTTGGGTAGCGGCCTAATAATTGATTCCTTCCATTGATCTGGGAATATACATTTTGTGATGGACATATTGATAATTGCAGTGATAACACCAAGAGTCCGTGGAAGAGTTAAAAGAATCATATCCAGTGATATACCATCTACGCCCTGTGCACTCGATCTCATTTTTCCAATGATCTTAGACACTGTTACTGACACTGTTTTTATATTTGACAAATTCCATGACAAATGCGGTAGATAACTGGATAAATTTACAATTTAATAAACTTTTCCTGAGCACACCCGAGTGACGCCAATCCAGTCCATGAAAATTACTAACATTTAAAAAAATATCAAATACGCATTCACCATAATGAAATGAACCCATGACACAGGAATACCCAGTATGTATGTATTTTATAAAACCATTAAATTTACATAATCTTAGTATAACAATAAAAAGTACTACATCAAAACAATCTTTATCAAAAATAAAACATAGATATAAACAACCAATAAAGAAGAACACCGCGTGCAACTCATTGCTCAATTCAGGAACAGCTCTCAGTACTATAATTAACCGACAAAAATTATAGAAATCAATGACAAGAAACAACATAAGCAGTTCAATATCCAATACAATTACCAATCCATCACATTTTATATGAAAAAGCAAATTAAGCAACATTACTTTATTCAGCACATACCTAAAAGCTATTATTACTATTACCAAATCTACCATATCAATAATTTTTAAAGCACAATATAACAAAAAATTACAGAAGAAACAACACAAAAATAATAAAGCATTCTTATTTAAAAATACATAACCGTCTCTCAAATATGTAAAATCAATACTCAAGCAAGGTTCATAACAATAAATAAAATCAAACAGCAGAACCAACATTTGGAGCACCAAAAACCTTTGCTATGTCAGACTGTGAACGAAGTCTATGACAGCTTGCCCCCTGCTCCCGTCTCGTGAAAATTTTACCATCCCTTGTCCAGACATATTTCCAATTTTGGCGCTTGGCGGAAACGCGCGCTTCCTGGAACAACTGCCTATTCGCTCCAGTAAGTCGCTCGTTTACATAAAAAGGGCGAACACCGCCCGATATAGGCAGACCATCGGTGGTGAGGCGACGACGCACGCGTGCAGCCTGTAGCAGAGAGTCTCGTAGAGCACGTCGGATCAACCGCACGACCAGTGGTCGAGGTCGCGGCGGAACAGCACCCTCAACAAATGAACGCACCGGCCCAGCACGTTCAACACTTACGACATCTCGTTCCTCCAATTGTATGCCAAGCTTATTGGCAACTGTCAGGAAAATATGAGTGGTATTTTCATTATTTGTTTCTGGCAAATTGGAGATCTCAACATCACACAATAACAAGTTCTGATCACGTTCCAATATTTCTTGTTTTAAGTGAGATATTGTCTTCTCCAATTCAAAAATCTGGTCACTTTTATGCTCACTAATGTTAGTCTCATAAGAGTTCATTCTCGATTCTAAGAGATCCAATCTCGAATTTTGGGTTTCGATCCTTTCGGTAAGAGTTGTCACGGCTAATCGTATGGCTCTTAATTCTTCTACAACCAATCGCTTAAAATCAGTATCAGAAGTATCGAAATTGCCCGGTTCAAATCCCAGCATTTCCTCTTTAGCGGACTCATTCAACTTAGTTCCCTTTGTACGTAGCGTGACATTTTGGTTGCATTGTTCAGGACTGTCCCCAGATGTAGAAAGTTCATCATTATTAATCTGTGTATTTGGCCGAACAGGCGTATTAATATTACCCCTTTTGGGTTGCTTACTTATGCATTCGGGGCATTTCCAACCATTTTTACGCTCCTTGTCGAATGCATAGAAGGATTGAAAACGTTGACTGCTCATGTTAATACAATCTAAGTCATATACCGCTTTACAAGATGAACACTGTAAGTATTCATTTTTAGGTAAGGGTTTAGTACAAGCCGCGCAAATCTTTAACTTAGAGTTGGTCTTCGAAGCCATCGTATAAATAGTTAAAAAACGGAAAATAAAACTTCTTCACTCCTGACTGGATACGATCTGATACTCTATTCATTCAATATCCAAACTAATATGCAACACACCAGTGAGTCGTTGACGCAAGCGACAAAATTAGCAATCATATAATGCCAACACAATACAATCGGCTACCAATGAGCGCCATCTAGTATTCCGTTCGTAAAACAATACTTAGCAAGTATGCTCCCGTAGCATACTAACAATAGTCTCGCAAAAGTAGATCGTTGCGTGCTACCGGTTGGTGCTTTTAGTTGCTTTTATAATAATACGTACTACATATGACTGTCATAATTATTCATAAACCACACCGATAACCGTTTATTGAATTTGAATTTAATCAATTTTCCATGTATACAGTATTGCACTTTATTTTCACCTTTTATTGAGCTGTAACTACAGCAAATAATTATTTATAAAATGAACAGTCTCATCCGTTATCTTGAGGAAATGTGTCACCTTTTTAATTCACTGTAAATCACTTTATCCGTAAATATAATAGTCACAAATACTTTTGAACATTATTTAGAGAACATTATTCACAAAGCCGATACGTAAATTTAGATTTTATCATTAATTATATTTTTAATCTAACAACAACTATGGAGCTGATGTTTACTATACAGCGCCACCTGTCAATGTCATTTTTATATGTCACATTTTTTTCAATTTGACTTCAGGTCCGAATGCTCTTTTGGCGAGCATGCCAAACGTTTAATAGATTACTTTATAATATTGATTTGTTTTGTTCTGACACTGCATATATGAAAAGAGTATTAAGCCTCAGTTATTTATATAATGACTATAATTAATAGGTGTGTTCGTTTTTTGCAGGATTGTAAAATATATACGTACTGCTTTTGATATCTTCTCCTTTTTAATATCTTCTGGATTATTAAAATTTTACAACCTATTGTAGGTATTTGTAATTAATTAGCATATAAATTATTTACTATGTAATTATTGGTCCGTAAATCTTCTTAAGATAAATAAATATTATTTTTTATCAAAATTAACAAGTAACGATAACACCTCATGAAATCTTGTTTAACCAAACCAACTGAAATTTTACAGCTCTCTAAATAACTGCATCATAACTTCGAAATCTTGTAGTAACAGATCAGTCAATGTGTATAATTAAATCGACCTGTCACAGTCAAGGCCGCTTTCGCTTTTATATAAGTAAAATTATATCACCCATACACTATGTTATCACAACTGGTTTGAATTCTTGCGATTTTTTTTTGCGTCATTGCAAAAAGCTGTCTTTAAAACAACTATTAAAGTACTATTGTGGTAAATATAAATAAGAAAACGACAGTTTTACTTATTATCAGTTGTCATTTTGAATACACAAGACGATAAGAGAATAATAATAATGATTACAAAAGTAAGTAAAAGTAATTTCAGTATATTATTTTTCACTAAACTTGTACATACTGTAAATAGACAATCAGTCAACATTAGTGTAAAAGAAAAGCAAAATAGTTTTTTTTTTTTGTTAGATAGATTTATGTAACTATTCTGGAGATTTTCTAATACAAAAACATGGATACTAGGACAGCAAAAAAAATGTTTGGAATTACTTTGTTGAAAATATATTGTGAATTATATAACGTCAAAATTTTGGACCCTTTAAAGCTTTTGTTTCTATAATTCTCTCTATATATAAGAAAATTTATTAATCTTTTTTTGCTTCTAATGGACTCACTCTTGATATCGATCCTACCCAAGGACATGAAGAGGCATACAATTGGCCAAAACAGTGCACTTTTTAGTCAATTTTTTTCCTTAACCATCCATAAGGAAGGCCTAAGTCCCTCCAGAGGGTACGTACAAAGGGCTGTTGATGATATGGTCTGGGTCATATGCATTTGGGACTATAAACACTGGCAGGAAATTTTCACTCCGTGGCAGTGCACAGTAAAAAAGATAACGATAATTGTTTTGTACGGTGACTTTTTGAATGATCGTTTTCACTTAACTTAGGAGTTGCCTGATATTTACGAATCGCCTAAGGTAAAAATGCATTTCACCAATGACTAGAAGCTATCTAACAACAACATAAACTAAATAAATGTGTCAACTGATAAAAGAAACAATATTTATTTGGAATTAAACTTATCTGCTTTGGCGATTCGTAAGTCAAACTATGCCTTTAGGTTAGTGAAAACGGATTTAAGAATATCTGTCGAATAAGAACAATATCCGACCCTGCGTTTAGATTCCAAATGGTAAAATAGTGAAAGCAGGGTTCTTTCTGTGATATTATTTCTCCTAATAACATTTTCGTGCATAACTTCTTATTTCATAAAAATAATTTTAATTATGTTTTAAAACTATCTGTTAATTCATAATATGTTTAGATCATCTTAGCTTGCATTATTATATATTGTGCATTATTCGCGGTTGCCACAGCGCGTCCACAACACAGCGATGGTCATGAGCACGCGTTCTCGTCCCAGAGTATAGTGCTGCATCAGAGCGGACACGAACAGCAAATCCAACAGAACCATCGCGTATACCAACAGCATGGATTACAAGAACAAGACAAACACAAACACCACGAAGACTACTATGTAAGTAGTCAGGTATTTGTGCATATTATTACGCATATAAAATTTTGCTATTACTGACAATATTAAGAAAATTATGCTAACCTCTTGCATCAAGCAAAAATTATGAACACTTGCATGAGGCATGAAATTTTTATTCCAGATACAAAACATGAATAATATTAAAACTTTTAATGCTATTTTGCAGGCGTATCCCAAGTATGCGTATGAGTACTCCATAAAGGACCCCCACACTGGTGACTACAAGACCCAGCACGAGACCCGCGACGGTGACGTTGTTAAAGGGTTCTACTCGCTGCATGAGGCTGACGGTACAGTGCGCATCGTCGAGTACACAGCCGACAAACACAATGGGTAAATAACTATTAAACGATTGATAAAAAGTATTGATAAAATTGAAACTAGATAAATTAATGATCTTTGAATAAGGATTATGATGTAATCTTCGATCATGTCTGAATCGTTTCATGTTAATTGTTTCCATATATATTTCCGTAAATACACATTGTCCTCTTCCTGCGTACCTTTTTAATATAACATTTAAAATAATTTTATTTTCTTCGTACAGATTCCACGCTGTGGTGAAGCGTGAGGGTCACGCTAAACACATCATTCCTGAACAAAAACACCATTGATTAAAATTAAGTACCTACCTTTACTGTTTAAACATGTGATAATACTGTTTATGTTACTTTTGTAAATATTTGTTTAATAAATTAGTAAATTGTATAAACGTTATTTTGTTTTTTTTACACACAATAGCACCATGGGATTGTAAGTGATAAAAGGCGGTGCAGAACTAGTATAAAATATTATTACCTATTCTTAATGAACAATGCTTGAAAAATCCATTTTTTCATTAAGAATATTTTTCAGTCACCATCATTGTCAGCCCTTTTACGTCCCCACTTCAGGGGCTTAGGCCTTTCTTATGGATGGTCAAAGAGAATGTGTCATGACCCCCCACGCTGGCCCAATGCGGATTGGAGGGTATTAACTACTGCAAATGCAGCTGGGACCAACGGCTTAATGTACCTTCCGAAGCACGCAGTAGCTCGAGATAGTTATTGTTTTTTGGTCACCCATTCCGTGACCAACCCTTGCGAAAGTTGCTTAACAACAACGATCGCGGGCTACGGCGCTTATCATCTATGCCACCGAGCTACTTATTTTTCAGTATAACATTGTATATGTGAAATTGACCAAATATAATAATACTATTACCTAATTCAAATAAGAATGTCATCATGACTGATGATAAAATACTTTTTAGTTATTTAATCTGTTATAAAGTTGTACAAGATACAACGATATATTGTCCTTAAAAAGTGTCTTTGGAAATCTCTGAATTCAAAATAATTTGTATAAATTAATCATGGTAATGTAGCTACTGTCACACATCACACATACATCGTCATTCCTTTTACGTCCCCATTGCAGGGGGTTAAGGAGGATGAGTCATAACCCTCCACGATGGCCCCATTGGAGGCTATTAGCGACTGCAAATGCAGTTGGGATCAAAGAATTAACGTGCCTTCCGAAGCACGGGGTAGCTCGAGATAATATTTTTTGGTTACCCATCCTGTGACTGACTTGCAAATGTTACTTAACAACGACGATTGCTAGCTGCTGCGCTTATCCGCCTCGCCAACAAGCTACTCGTATAATCACACTCAGCACACCAATCATGCAATTGATTTCTACTGTACAGTACAGTAGTATCAATTTATGCAATTGATTTTAAATTAAATGATTTCGAGGAATTTGACGGTTTTAAGGATAATATATGGTTGTATCTGTAAATATTTTATACAGCTGTATAATAGTATAACAGATCTAATTACTAAAAATATTTGATCATTAGCCTTGACGACTTTCTTATTTTTAATTAGGTAATCATATTTCATTCTAGTTTAGTGCCATTTTTTTATTCCTTATAATTTTATAGTGGTATGATTTCGAATTCAGAGTAACTTTATTGCCGTATTCAACCATATTTTCAAATGTTAGTTATTGTCTTTAATTAAAGCAGCTTTTAAATTTTTTTTTCGAAATTACACTTGTCATAAACAATATTTCTCTGGTCAGTGAAATCTTAAACTTTACAATTCTGAAATGAACTAAACCTACAAATTACTAATTCATTTATTCATTCGTATTAAAGAGTTAAATTAAAAAGCAACAGCAATGGACAATATGCTCCAAATATATGGAAAATAACTCAGGCCCAGAGCAAACGAAACGTTACTTATATTAAAGATATAAATGAGTGAGTAAATACTCCATAGTTATAATACATCATTAAATTGATGGCTAAATGTATAATATTGCTATTCGATATTGACATAAAAGGTACTCTAAAGTTAATTAACCAGCACTAGAAACTGTATGTTATTACAAACACAATGCCGTCATTCTATATTGACAAAATTAACATTAAAATAACGAAAGGTAAAGAAAAACGAAACAAAACTATAGTTTACTTTAATATTTTATTGATTTTCAAATTCTACAACTACATCTTACAAAAATGAAGCAGGGTGATTGAAATGTTGTTGATGTCTAGCCCATTCCAAGTAATATAATACGACCATGACATGGGTCTAATAACTCAATTGTATCTTCTAACTTCTCACATGCGTCACCTTATGAGGAGACAGTTCTTATCATTCCAATGGATTACGTCAGGATGTCGAATAACTTCAAGTTCATAGGCAACTGTCCGCTTTAACTATTACGATCTTCACTGCAATAAGAGATTTTTATATATTATAAGCCAACTGTAATAAAAACCAAACCTTCATGTGTTCCGTTCCATGAAGAGCTAGTAAGAGACAGTGATACATACTGGAGAGAGAGAATTTTTAGGCCAAGAAAAAGTATTGTTTCCATGATGCTTCTTTTATTGGTACTTACATTGTATACTATCCCCAGTCAAAAATCGAATAGCAATATCATTTAGCTATAAATTTTGATAATGCTCTCTATGCAGTATTTACTTACTTATTTATATCTTTAATATAATTAACATGTCGCTTGCGCCGGGCCTCGGTTATTTCAGCATTATCCTTAGACGTCACCATCCCATTTTGAAATGACTCACGAGGCGAAAGTGAATTAAATTAAATGGAAAATATTTAAATCATTAATTAACTTTATAGGTAACAGAAATTCGTCAGACTTTTCAATTCTGGGTAGCTCAGTGGTTAGAGCAGTCGCCCGGATTTCGAAAGGTCGTGGATTCGAGTCCCATCTAGCAGGGCACTGCAACACTTTGTTCCTGGCAAGGAACAAAGTGGATTTTTAAGCATTTTTCATTAAGAATTATTTTTCAGTATAGCATTGTGAATGCAAAATTGATCATATACAATAAAATAAGTAATTTTATATTTTCACAAGTTTCAATGAAACCACAAATTTAGAAATAACACTTTATTTTATAAAAAAATTAAATAACAACACAGAAAAGGAAACGCGAAGTCAACTAAAACATGACTTCATTTTAACGTATCAAATATGATAATAATAAGCATTTATTTTTCTCCACAAAACGCGATCCTTATTCAGATAAGCAGATAAATAAAACTATAATATAAAGTCCTGTCATGAGGAGATTAGTGCCTGACGTGTCTAAATTAGGGTATGATGAATTTTCAATGATATTTCTTTTCCTCGACATGTTTTGTAATATGCTTAACTTCGGCGTTGAATCTGTAATAAAAAAAAATTGCTAAAATTTAACTTTACTTATACTTTTTTGGTTATAAGAATCTATCAATGTTTCTAGAAATAGTTTCATTTTGCGCAATAGGTATACGGGTAATGTATCAACTATGTGAATTATAAAGCTTATCAATTCCAGCTATGGTTTATGAAATTGATCTTATGTGAAAATTACAACAAATTCTTAACAGATGATACTGCTTAAATTAAATTACCACTTGTATACTAACCCAGTTTTCTTGTCAGCGTAATACTTGACGGTGCGCACGGAGCCGTCGTGCTCGTGCAGGCTGTACTCTCCCTTCACCACGTGCCCGTCGCGGGCCTCGTGCTGCTGCTTGTAGTCGCCGGTGTGGGGGTCGTGCACCTTGTACTCGAACTCGTACTTGGCGGGACCCTGCACGAAATTATGACTTTCTTAGATGTCGTATAGTAACGTAAATATTCTTGACAAACAATATATTTTTTAAACAATTTGCTGAGATCATCACCATCATCATCAGCCCTTTTACGTCCCCACTGCATGGGCTCAGACCTTCCTTATGGATGGTTAAGGAGGATGGGCCATGACCCTTCACGCTGGCCCAATGCGGATTGGAGGGTATTAACGACTGCAAATGCAGCCGGGACCAACGGCTTAACGTGCCTTCCGAAGCACAGAGTAGCTCGAGATACTAATTTTTTGGTCACCCATCCCGTGACCGACCGAATAGGCTGAGATTCCTATTGTAAATTGTAATAGCTTGGGTGCTAAAACAAAACGAAGATAAAAGAAGATTTATTTATTTTACTAAAGTACATTGCTGATAATGATTAAGCTATCTTTTTCGTTCTAAAGAGGGAAACAATTTCACTAATTAGACTATTCTGTGAGATACTTGACGGAAGCTGTTGGAGACAAACTTACATCATTGTATTTGTGCCAGTCAGCGGGAGGGTGAGCGGGCACGTCGTGTCTCTCGATATGTAAGGTGGAAACGGCGGGCTTGTGGTGGTGTTCTTCATGAGCGTGGCTCTCCTGAACGTAGTGAGCTACAGGCACGATCTTGCTCACCACGGGAATAATATGTTTCTCCGCTTTTATAGGTTGGTGATGCTCATGTGTGTCGTGACGTATAATACTTTGTGATGAGTAGGCGTGTTCCGCAGCAAGACAAGAGCCAAGGATAGTTAAGATGGTTACTACCTGTCAACATATTATCAATAATAAGAAAGTCTTATTCTACGAAAGAAATAAGACAATATGGACAGCAGATAACTACATAGTCCAGACTAACTGATCCATTATTATGTACCTATTTAACAGAAAACTAAGTTTAAGTTTGAACAGAAAGATTAGTCTGCAGTGGGACTGACATGTTTTATATACAATTATATTTCAAGTTAAATAAAATCTAAAAATGTATAGAATAAAATAGAATAATAACTCTTTATTGTCAACACCACCAATATTTATATTACAATGTAATAATTGGCGGTCTTATCGCTTAGAGCGATCTCTACCAGTCAAGATTTTTTATTTTAATTCTTAAGACTGTTTTTATACAGACAACGAAATATGTTCTTAGTTCGTAAATGAAATGCTTTACCTTCTTATACATTATAGTATTTTATTGTAAACGGTTTCTTTGAATGAACTATAAATGAATACTGATAATTGAACATTTTTAATCCTTTTATATAATACAATTCTTTTCATGTCACGCAATAAATCTTATGCACAACTTAAACAATTTTTGGAAAAGGTCAGTCACTTTTACTTTAAACTTACAGTTAATAATTTATACATTTTGTAATAGAGAATGTTCACTAATTTTCAATATTACTATACATTAAGTAATTTTGGAGATAAGAAGTTAAGTCAATTAGTATGTAACAATGCAATATCGAGTAATGCTTGTTTATATAGCTT